TCAGGTAAGGAGTTGGGTCCTCTGCAGTCATGTTCTATAAATAGCAGCATGATTGTCAGCTGTGTGCGAAGTGCCATGCCAAAGTTTTTATACGTATTGATGGGGCAACTGAGGCTCAGAGGGGCAAAGCCATATCCTAAGAGCATACTGCTCAGAGGTCATGGAGCTGGGCCTGTGTTCTGCCCACCACACCACATGCTGCCTCTTCAGGGCACCTGGCCAGGGCTCCCTCAGCATCCTTGGGGACAAGAGGGAGACACAGAGGCTGCAGGTAAATGGATCTGGAGAGCTCTGGGCTCTGAGCCACTCGTCAGCTTGCACTGCTGAAGCCTCTGCTCTTTCCCCCACACTCCCCTGGCAGATGCTAGGAGTGGATTTTGGATGCAGAGAGAATTCAACTTGGTCCCTACCCTTGAGGCTTCCTCAGTCTGGTGGGGAGACAGGTGCATTCAGATGAATTGTGATGCACAGTAAGAAAACAGAAGGGAATAAGAAGTAATTTCTTAAATAATTTTTAAAGAAAATTATTCTTTTTCTTATTTTGTAAAATGAAATTTTTTTTTCTTATTTTGAAAACATTGCATGCTTTTGCAAACACATTTTGGAAAATACAAAGAAACAAAGGCAGTGGGGGAAGAGAAGGTAATCAATATTCATAATCCTGTCACTCAGAGGACTGCTGTTAATATTTTGTTATATTTCTTTCCAATCTTTCTTCTATTTAAAAAAACAAAACAAAACAGACTTCAGACCAGGCTGACATTGCAAATGTATTACTGCTGTTTTTAATCCATGTTATTCTTAATCATTTCCCCATGTTATTTGAAATGTGTAAACAGGCTATTTAAATATCTACACAATATGCCATTGTGTGGATCTACCATAATTTACTTAACTATTCTTTGATAAGTTTCAGATTATTTCCATTTTTTTATTAGGGAGAAACTAATTGAAACAGAGTGGGAGAGGTGGGGATCAAGAAGGAACCAAAAGATAATCTGATTTAGCCTTTGAAAAAAGAATAGCTGTTTGCTGGACGTGAAAAAGAGGCATCAGTAGCCAGTGGGCAGGTGTAACGGTGACTGGTGTGTGGGCTGGAGAATTGTTTTAATTGCTCAGGGCAGTGGTCCCAGGCGCGGAGGGGAGAGGGGACCAAAGTGAGTAGTAACTTTGAATCTGGATGGATGTTCAGTTGCATGTTGCATGGGGTGGGGGTGGGGGTAGAAAGAGGGAATAGATGTTTATTTTCATTTTGGAAAGCCTGGGGGAGAGGGTAAAGGAGGCAAGGAACAACCAATCTGGGGTCCCAGTGCCACCTGTTAATCTGCTATGTCACTAGGGCCAAGTGACTTTCTGTCTTTGAGCCCATCTCTGGCAATACAGGCCTAAAAATACTCACCATCTGCCTCTGGCCCCACCAGCCTGGGGGCCTCTGTAAGTTGAGATCCAAGAGTTCTCTAGATGAGCAGGGCTAAGAACCTGAATTTGAATGCAGTGGCCCGACTGCTCTGGAGGGGACAGCGGTTGTTAGAGTACGTCTGGTTTGTAAGCTCTCTATGCTAAGCATAAACTATGGTGATACCTGAGACAAAGACTTGCCCTGGAGGGGTTCTCAGGTAAGGCGGGGAAGAGCTGGAAGTCAGAGAGTCAGAGATGAATGATTACCAAGCAATTGACTATAAGATAAGCCTTGTTAATGTGTTGGGGTAGCCCTAAGCAAATTTCCACCTGGGCCTGGGATGGAATTTTTCTATAGGACTCTTTCTAGAGGATCTTTGTGCATGCCACAAATACTCTGAGCATGTTCTTTGTGCCAGCCCTTGCACTAAGCACTGGGATATCAGGAAACAAGACAAAAATCTTAGCCCTCATAGACTTTGTTTGGCTGAAGACAAACGGTAAAACAGGTGAACTGCATGTTATAATAGAAGTTAAGTGATATGGGGGGCGGGGAATAGAGCATCTGAGGGGTTTGGCAATTTTACTAGGGTGGTCAGGGCAGGCCTGAAGGAGTGGTGAACATTTGAGCAAACTCTGAAAAAGGTGAGGGAGGGACCATTTGGATATCTGAGGGAACAGCCATCCCAGCAGAGGGAACAGCCAGTGCAAAGGACTGGAGGCTGAGTGTACTTGGTATATTCGAGGAATAGCAAAGGGTCAGTGTGGAGGGAAGAAGAGCATGAATGACGTCAGACATGCCTGGGTGGGTAGAATGTCAGATCAAGCAACACTCTGTAGAGATTGGTGAGGACTTGGGCTTTTACTCAGAGTAAAAAGGGGAGCCAATGAAAAGTTTTGAGCAGCCGGGCCAGGCGTGGCTCAGCGGTTGAGCGTTGACCTGGGATCCAGGCGATCAGGGTTCGATTCCCGGTCAGGGCACATGCCCGGTTGCGGGCTTGATTGATGACTCTCTCATCATTGATGTTTCTGTCTCTCTCCCTCTCCTTTCCTCTCTCTGAAATCAATAAAGATATATTAAAAAAAAAAAAAAGTTTTGAGCAAAGAAGTACCATGTTCTGACTTAGGTAAAAGAATCCCTCTGGTTCCTATATTGACATAGACTAGGGCAAGGCTGGATAAAGAAAGAGAAGCACTTTAGGAGAACGTTGCAATAATCCCAGTCAGTTTGGGCTGCTATAGCAAAGTACCACAGACTGGGTGGTTTATGAACAACAGAAATTGTATTTCTCGTGGTTCTGGAGGCTGGCAATCTGAGATCAGGGTGCCAGCATGGTTGGGTTCTGTTGAGATTGCTCTTCTGGGTTGCAGACTGCTAACTTGTAACCTCTGAGGGCGAAATGGGTTCTATGAAAAGTAGCCTCACAGGGTGATCTGGTCATAAACTCCTAACTGGGCAGGTCGCGGTGGGTGGTCATGATCCAGGCATATATATAACTTCTTTAGTAAAAAGTTTACCTTTGCCTTAAGCAAGCCCTGTTTCTGTGCATCTAGGTTAACACACCTTTGAAATAAACCTAATCACCCTCAAGAGAGCACATAATCTTAACTCCTGAAATCCAATCCCTGCTTTGCTTTCTCCCACCTTCATGTAATCCTTCTTACATTCCCCCCCTTAATTTCAAATGTGTAAAAGAAACAGCAAAACTCACTCTTGAAAGCTTTGGGATCTTGCCTCCTGGCAATTGTTACCAGTTTGGGCTCCAATAAACTCATAAAAATTCTCTGCATGTGTGGATGTTCTTATGTGGACACCTCACATGGCAGAAAGAAGCCTAGAGGGTTCTTTGGAGTCGCTTTTGTAAAGACCCTACTCCCATTCATGAATTCTCCACCCTTATGACCTAATCACTTCCCAAAGGCCCCACCTCCAGATACCATCACCTTAGGAGTTAGAATTTCAGCATTCGAATCTGGGGGGGACACAAATAATAGGCCCCTAGCAAGAATATTGCAATAATCTTGGGCAGACACCGGAGGAGGGTGGTAGCGGTGGAGATGGGGTGGAAGAGGTCAGAGGCTAGATATATTTTGCAGGGAAAGCCAATAGGATGTCCTGCCCCGGTGGGGAAGGGGGTGGGAGGCGGTTCAAGAGGACCCCGGGGGTTCTGGCACGGGCGCCGGGAGGGCGGAGGCGCGCAGGGCTGCTGCAGGGAGGCTGTGCGGGAGCAGGCCTCGCCTGCGTTTGGGAGGAGAGACGGGTTCTGTTGTGGGCATGCTGACTTGGAGATGCTTACTGGACCTCAGGTAGGAGGTGCCGAGCAAACCGTCCAGGGAGGAGTCTGGGCTGGGGATAGAAACCAAGTTGGGGGTCCTGAGCAACACCGACGCCAGGAACCGCAGTGGGCCGGGCGGCGCGACGGCGGAGAGCGGGAAGGAAAAGCTCTTTCCCTGCTTTGCAGTTTCCCCTGGCGCGACTGCACACAGCAATGCGCTAAGCGTTCATTTCACAGTTCTGCACGCACCTGCACTCGACAAATAGCCATGATAGGATGTTTTATCTTCAAAACAGACCCAAGCGAAGGAAATTAGGGTTAAGAGAAGTGAAACCCCAGACAGAGACCTTGGAGCCCCAAACCCAGTCTGTCCCTACACGTCCAGAAGCTCTGTGGTGGGCAGGGTTAGGGTATCGGATTGAGGTGGAGGCGGCGACTTTCGGCTGGTTTGTTCGCTAGCGTCAAGAGAACCCGGGTTGAGCCCACCGCTCGGCGGAGAGCTGGAGGTTCGGGGCGCGGCCCCTTTAAGGCAGAGCGGGTGATCTCAGCGGCACGCT